CTGAAGAACAGTTGGTCCACAAAAAACGGGAGTTGAGAAATAATTAGTGATTTTTTTTTTAATAAATTTGATTTTTTTTTTAAGGTTATGTTGTGATATATATGAGAAAATAGTTTATACCATAACTTCCATATTTCACACACAACAACCTGAACATTACCACAACCTGAACACTACCACAACCTGAACATTACTACAACCTGAACATTACCACAACCTGAACATTACCACAACCTGAACATTACCACAACCTGAACATTACCACAACCTGAACATTACCACAACCTGAACATTACCACAACCTGAACATTACCACAACCTGAACATTACCACAACCTGAACATTACCACAACCTGAACATTACTACAACCTGAACATTACTACAACCTGAACATTACCACAACCTGAACATTACCACAACCTGAACATTACCACAACCTGGACATTACTACAACCTGTACATTACCACAACCTGAACATTACCACAACCTGAACATTACTACAACCTGAACACCACCACAACCTGAACATTACCACAACCTGAACATTACCACAGCCTGAACATTACCACAACCTGAACACTACCACAACCTGAACATTAACACAACCTGGACATTACCACAACCTGAACATTACCACAACCTGAACACTACCACAACCTGAACATTACTACAACCTGAACATTACCACAACCTGAACATTACCACAACCTGAACATTACCACAACCTGAACATTACCACAACCTGAACATTACCACAACCTGAACATTACCACAACCTGAACATTACCACAACCTGAACATTACCACAACCTGAACATTACCACAACCTGAACATTACCACAACCTGAACATTACTACAACCTGAACATTACTACAACCTGAACATTACCACAACCTGAACATTACCACAACCTGAACATTACCACAACCTGGACATTACTACAACCTGTACATTACCACAACCTGAACATTACCACAACCTGAACATTACTACAACCTGAACACCACCACAACCTGAACATTACCACAACCTGAACATTACCACAGCCTGAACATTACCACAACCTGAACATTAACACAACCTGAACACTACCACAACCTGAACATTAACACAACCTGGACATTACCACAACCTGAACATTACCACAACCTGAACATTACCACAACCTGAACACTACCACAACCTGAACATTACCACAACCTGAACATTACCACAACCTGAACATTACCACAACCTGAACATTACCACAACCTGAACACTACCACAACCTGAACATTACCACAACCTGAACATTACCACAACCTGAACATTACCACAACCTGAACATTAACACAACCTGGACATTACCACAACCTGAACATTACCACAACCTGAACATTACCACAACCTGAACACTACCACAACCTGAACATTACCACAACCTGAACATTACCACAACCTGAACATTACCACAACCTGAACATTACCACAACCTGAACATTACCACAACCTGAACATTACCACAACCTGAACACCACCACAACCTGAACATTACCACAACCTGAACATTACCACAACCTGAACATTACCACAACCTGAACACTACCACAACCTGAACATTACCACAACCTGAACATTACCACAACCTGAACATTACCACAACCTGAACACCACCACAACCTGAACATTACTACAACCTGAACATTACCACAACCTGAACATTACCACAACCTGAACATTACCACAACCTGAACATTAACACAACCTGGACATTACTACAACCTGAACATTACCACAACCTGAACATTACCACAACCTGAACACCACCACAACCTGAACATTACCACAACCTGAACATTACCACAACCTGAACACCACCACAACCTGAACATTACTACAACCTGAACATTACCACAACCTGAACATTACCACAACCTGAACATTATTACAACCTGGACACTACCACAACCTGAACATTACCACAACCTGAACATTACCACAACCTGAACATTAACACAACCTGGACATTACTACAACCTGAACATTACCACAACCTGAACATTACCACAACCTGAACACCACCACAACCTGAACATTACCACAACCTGAACATTACCACAACCTGAACACCACCACAACCTGAACATTACTACAACCTGAACATTACCACAACCTGAACATTACCACAACCTGAACATTACTACAACCTGAACATTACCACAACCTGAACATTACCACAACCTGAACATTACCACAACCTGAACATTAACACAACCTGGACATTACTACAACCTGAACATTACCACAACCTGAACATTACCACAACCTGAACACCACCACAACCTGAACATTACCACAACCTGAACATTACCACAACCTGAACACCACCACAACCTGAACATTACTACAACCTGAACATTACCACAACCTGAACATTACCACAACCTGAACATTACCGCAACCTGAACATTACTACAACCTCAACATTACCACAACCTGAACATTACCACAACCTGAACATTACCACAACCTGAACACCACCACAACCTGAACATTACCACAACCTGAACATTACCACAACCTGAACATTACCACAACCTGAACATTACCACAACCTGAACATTACCACAACCTGAACATTACCACAACCTGAACATTACCACAACCTGAACACCACCACAACCTGAACATTACCACAACCTGAACATTACCACAACCTGAACATTACCACAACCTGAATATTACCACAACCTGAACATTACCACAACCTGAACATTACCACAACCTGAACATTACCACAACCTGAACATTAACACAACCTGGACATTACTACAACCTGAACATTACCACAACCTGAACATTACCACAACCTGAACATTACTACAACCTGAACATTACCACAACCTGAACATTACCACAACCTGAACATTACCACAACCTGAACATTACCACAACCTGAACATTACCACAACCTGAACATTACCACAACCTGAACATTACTACAACCTGAACATTACCACAACCTGAACATTACCACAACCTGAACATTACCACAACCTGAACATTACCACAACCTGAACATTACCACAACCTGAACATTACTACAACCTGAACATTACCACAACCTGAACATTACTACAACCTGAACATTACCACTCCTGAACATTACCACAATCTGAACATTACCACAACCTGAACATTACCACAACCTGAACATTACCACAACCTGAACATTACCACAACCTGAACATTACTACAACCTGAACATTACCACAACCTGAACATTACCACAACCTGAACATTACCACAACCTGAACATTACTACAACCTGAACATTACCACAACCTGAACATTACCACAACCTGAACATTACCACAACCTGAACATTACCACAACCTGAACACCACCACAACCTGTGCACCACCACAACCTGTACACCACCACAACCTGTACACCACCACAACCTGTGCACCACCACAACCTGTACACCACCACAACCTGTACACCACCACAACCTGTACACCACCACAACATGTACACCACCACAACCTGTACACCACCACAACCTGTACACCACCACAACCTGTACACCACCACAACCTGTACACCACCACAACCTGTGCACCACCACAACCTGTACACCACCACAACCTGTACACCACCACAACCTGTACACCACCACAACCTGTACACCACCACAACCTGTACACCACCACAACCTGTACACCACCACAACATGTACACCACCACAACCTGTACACCACCACAACCTGTACACCACCACAACCTGTACACCACCACACCACCACAACCTGTACACCACCACAACCTGTACACCACCACAACCTGTACACCACAACAACCTGTACACCACAACAACCTGAACACCACCACAACCTGTGCACCACCACAACCTGTACACCACCACAACCTGTACACCACCACAACCTGTGCACCACCACAACCTGAACATTACCACAACCTGAACATTACCACAACCTGAACACCACCACAACCTGTGCACCACCACAACCTGTACACCACCACAACCTGTACACCACCACAACCTGTGCACCACCACAACCTGTACACCACCACAACCTGAATACCACCACAACCTGTACACCACCACAACCTGTACACCACCACAACCTGTACATCACCACAACCTTTACACCACCACAACCTGTACACCACCACAACTTGTACACCACCACAACCTCTACACCACCACAACCTCTAAACCACCATAACCTCTAAACCACCATAACCTCTACACCACCACAACCTGTACTCCACCACAACCTGTACACCACCACAACCTGTACACCACCACAACCTGTACACCACCACAACCTGTACACCATCACAACCTGTACACCACCACAACTTGTACACCACCACAACCTGTACACCTCCACAACCTGTACACCACCACAACCTGTACACCACCACAACCTCTACACCCCAACAACCTGCACACAACCTGTACATCACCACAACCTGTACACCACCACAACCTGTACACCTCCACAACCTGTACACCACCACAATCTGTACACCACCACAACCTGTACACCACCACAACCTCTACACCACCACAACCTCTACACCCAACAACATGTACACAACCTGTACACTACCACAACCTGTACACCCCAACAACCTGTACACAACCTGTACACCCCAACAACCTGTACACAACCTGTACACCCATCCTCGGGTCATGCTCGTCAAGCTCTGCCCGACCCAAAAAACACATCCGTGAATTTTAACGCTCTATGTATATATAAAAACAATATTTTATCGAATATAATTGAACATTGACGTATAATATGAGCAACCGGAAAAACTTGAACTTGCTAGAATGTTAAGTTTTTTCTAACACGTGTCTGGTAGAGCGTGCCTTATTGTTGAACTTGTAGTGACATCTGCACTTGTAGTGACATCTGCACTTGTAGTGACATCTGCACTTGTAGTGACATCTGCACTTGTAGTGACATCTGCACTTGTAGTGA